TTCAAATTACATGTCTAACATTTTCACTGAAAAAAAGCATTTTATAATTTATTTCTAAATACATACACAATATACAGGGTGTCCCAAAAAACATGGGAATTCAGTGACGAATTCGATATCGTCTTTTCAAATAATTCTTTCATTTAGTATAGTGATACCTACTGAGAAAGCTGTAATCTGTAAGAGTTTCGTCTGCTATGTTTACATTTTTTTTTTTTTTTTTTTTCTTGCAACCGGTTGTACTTAGTAAAACAAAAAAAAAATTACAGTATACAAACAGAGTAAACTTGTCCGTATTCACTGTTCATCTTGCGGAGATATTATAGAGACATCTTTGCAGTCTTTTACCCTTTTCTTTAAATAAACTCTAGCAGACATAATAACATTATGGCTTTTGAAATTAGGTATTACAATGCTAATTCAGAACAAAGACGATATCGAATTCGTCACTGAATTCCCATGTTTTTTGGGACACCCTGTACATAATAGATGCCTTAGTCCACCATAATAAGCCAAACAAGCAATTGTCTTTCCAACAATCCAATAAGGAGTAGAAGAATCAGCATTCAACAGAAACTGGTGCTGAACACATTAGCCTTTTGTTTTATATCAACAGCATGTTTTCAGCAGAAATGTTGCTCTGCTGTACTGCTGTTTAAGATTAAATGAATATTTTCCCTTTAAGACAAAATTGATCAAACTGCAGATTGTCCAAAGAATGGATGAAGCCATGTAAGCAATTTAGATCCGAGATAAAATAACGATAACTCTACTCAAAGTCTAATTCGAATCTAAATGACTCTATCTCTCGCCAAACTACAGGCTCTCTATCATTAGCCAAAACTCAAGGCTATGTATACGTCCGTACTAAACGACAAATCTCATTGAACTCATTTATTTTATATACAGGTGAACGAAACTGACCGGGCTAGCCCGGCAGGGTCAACATACAGATAATTAAGATATATATATATATTACTAGCATGGATAACATAGACAGCATTACACATCGATAAAGAATATATTACAGCCATTCCTTTCTCCTCTCTAAGATGTCGAACAAATTTTATTAACTCATGTTCAGTTGTTGATCTGGGCTCCAGCTCCTCCATCTAATCTCCAATAAAGTCTCTAAGTTGATTGAAGGCCCCAGATAGTTCTTTTCGGCTGCCTTCTTGATATGTATCAACGCCACAGAATCCGGGAAGATAATAGATGAATCTAACATCTTCTTTCCTTGCTAGTTAAAGTAAAACTGACAAATTCTGGATTTTTACTAAAATTGTGCAGATTTTAAAGTTTTTTTCTCGCGTTTTTTCGGTTCAAAAAGAAATAAAATTATATAAGCAAATATTGTATTGTATAATACTGGAAATTATATTTTTGTCCAAAAATATAATTATAATTATAATATATGTAAAATTTAATTTTTTTGTAAAATATTTCCCGCTATTTTCCAGACCAGCTTATGGGTTTTAAACTTAATTTTTGTTTTGCTAATTTTTTTTGTTAAACTAGAAAAATAGAATAATGTTGCAAAGGGTTAAAATATCATGAATAATTACGGAGAGGTAAAATGCTGATGGGAAAGGAATTAAGTCTTTACCGCAAATTTTAATTTTCTAATCCATATATCTTTGTAACCCAATGTCGTAGACCTGAGATATTTCAAACAGTAAAATCAAATAATCTTAAAATGTCAAAATTTTACAGGTTGCAAAGATATTGAGATTAGACAGTTTAAGTTTGGACAGAATTTAGGATGCTGTGCATTAAAAACTTTAATCATTTCTAACTTGCAGAAATATTGTTTATATCTAGAATATTGTTTTTTTTTCTAGAATATTGTTTATATCTAGAATATTGTTTATATCTAGAATATTGTTTAAATCTAGAATATAACAAGTTCTGATGAGAACCTGTTTACCGACGCATTCCTGGAGTTTTGGATTTCAGGTAAACACAAAAATAACATTAAAACAAAAATATTTCTTGTGACAACATTTTTTCTTAAACATTAATTTATCAAATGTATCTTTTTTACGAACAATTTTGACGAGTGTCTCCGTCTCAAAACCTAATTTGACAAAAATTTTAAATGTAGAAATTTTTTTTTACAAATTTGTAACTTTTGAATTGGGCTAATTGTTGTAGAAAGCTAAAATTTCAAATTTTTTGGGTAATATTGCTTTCGGGTCATAATCAATTCATGGTCGACATTTATTAGTAGTATAAAACGTCTGTCTATCTATCAATTTATCCATCTATCTATCTATATATCCTTCTATCTATCAGTCTATCTATCTATCTATCTATCTATCTATCTATCTATCTATCTATCTATCTAT